GCGTGCTTTCAAACTGCTAGGTTGGCAGGAGCTGGGACCGAGCAACGGGAGCTTACCCCGTCGCGGGGATTCGAACCGCTGACCTTCTGAAAGCAAGCCCAAGAGGCTCAGTAGTGAGACCTTGATATGTTGTACTGGGACAAGGGTTGTGCATGCTGACCACACAGCTATCAAGGACCTTTGAAACGAGAGCTTCACAAAAACTTTGTGGAAAAATATTACTAAAAGGCAACTAGTATTTCACACGGCGATTCCTTGGCCTTGACTTTGGGACGTCAATGTGACATCATCTAATAGAAAACAACTGAAATGATGCCAATCAGTATGCAAATGCTTGAAGGCCTGCCTCATTCATACCTATTGACTCAAGTTTCCCCTTCAACATGACCAGCCACATGTTTTCTGTTGTGCTGAATACTTGAATAGTTTCTAGTTTCATTTGATGGACCTTGACCACGATACTGGGGGAGACTCCCACTCCCCAAGTTTTTTCTCCCATTTCCCCCATTGGCACACTCTCTTCCTCTGCTGCCCTATGGGGAAAACATGCAGGTACCCATAGGGTACCTACTGTGGCGATCACACAGGGTCCCCGGACATTTCACTGTCTATTGTTCCCTGTGCCACCACTTTATTTCTTCCTGCCACCACCCAGGCCCTACCTGGTACAATACTGAGTCCAGTCAGGGTTAAATTGGAACATAAACTTCTGTTTATTTATTGCAGTTTAACAAGCGTGTGGTTTCATAAACGGTATCGGTCAATTACAATCATAGGGTGCCTATCCAGCCCAATATCTTCTGCTACCTGCTCTTACTCACTAAACCACCTCTCAGATATTTACTTTTCTTCCTAGCCCCTAACTGTTCCTGACTCAACTTATTTCGCAACACTAACTCAACCTACCCACAAACTCTATCCCAATTCACTCCCACTCCAACCAATCACCCAACTCCCAACAAACTCCCCTTTCGCCCCTCCCAGAGCGGGTTTTATAGTCCCTCTGACTCCACCCCCTGGGTTCTGATTGGGTAACTTGTTTAACTATTTCACCTCCAGCACTCTCATATGTTAACGTCACACCTACATTGCACCCAGTCGCAGCCACCCTAAAAGCATACTGCTTACTGACTTGTACTGCCTTAGGGCTGCAAACCTGGGCTCACTTAACCAGGATGTAACCTTCTTTCATTTAGATTAGTAATTGTATGTAGACTTCCACTATTAACAATGTATCTGCTTGAAGTCATCAGACTCTAGTCATCTTTTACATAGCTTTTTCATTTATTTTCAAGTGGGCCACAATGTGCCTGAGATTTCAAGTGCTAGATATATATTTTAAAGGACACCAAATCATGTCAGTCCCAGAACGATGCCAGCTCCCCAATGAAATCACTTGACTGGAACCACAGCAAATAAGTGAATTTATATCTGTCACCAAATGACTCATTGAAAAATTAAATCCTACCATCCTGATCACCCGGACAGATTTGCTTTCTCCTTTTCCTTTTTGGTCCAGGGCAGGGAGATTCCAGAATGACATCGTAGGCAGAAATGTAGCCTTGAAAGTTTGGCGAAATGCAATTAAAAACACACATAATTACTAGCGAAGTCACTTAGCAAGAGAATGCGCACTGGCTCTGCTTTGGGAGCCCGTACTTGATTTCCTATGAAAATTAATCGGCTATCAAACAATCTTCAGCCGCGGAGGATGATTATAAAAAGGGAAGAAAATGCCCTTTGTGTAGGTGAAATGTGTCGTGGACTGTCATCGTAATATACCTCAGTGAAATGAAGGTTAATTCTGATGTACAACCTGCATGACAGTCATTATCAGTGAATCATGAAAATAAATTAAGCTACTGAAATAGATACGTTCTTCTCTCGTACACAGTGGGTATCCTGTGAGGAATGGACAGATGAACTTTACGGATTATTATTGGAAAATAGTGTGGAATTCAATTAATACACCTAAAGACACTTTTATAGAGGGCAGTCATAATTTAAATGACAGCAGGAAGTAATTTTGCTGGATATAAGTCAAATTTCCAGAATTTCATGTTCTACATTATTAATTCTAAAATATCTTTTTTTTTTAAGGGAGGAGGTGAAGGAAAAGAAGACAAAACAGTGTGCTGATTCCTAAAAAAAGAGGAGACCCTTTTGTTCAAAGTTTCCTTACGCTGAAATAATTTTACATAACTATCCTGGCCTTTTCTTTGCAAAAAATTAAGTCTCCTTCCTCATTGCGAATTAGAATGAACTGGGTAATGTGTCCCTTAAAGATTTCCTTGTGTTTTCCTGTATTTAATGCCTCCAGGTTCCTTCCCGATAATGAAATTGGTTCTCTAAATTTGCTCTGAAAAGCAAATAGATGATAATTTTTTTATGCGGGAAATTCTGGGAGGAAAATAAATTGAGGCACTAAGAATAGAGTAAATGGCAACCTTCAACAAGAAAGGTTAGATTTAATCCAAGCAGGCATCTGACAAGCTGCGGTACACGTTGAATCCATATCAGTGTGACCCTACCACAGACCTCCTTTATCCATTAATCTACACTTCTTTTAGCAGGGAGTTGAATTAGCTCACTGACAGGGCATTGCCTGCTGATTAGCGTACATCATTCTATGGAGCAGGAAGAAAAGGAGAGCCCTCCTTCGCTTAACTCAACTGTCCTACAAAATGGTGCTAATTTCTCTCCCCCCCCCCACCTTCTGTTTCCAAAAGCAACAAGTTCATATTTGAAAACACACCAGGGGATTGCCTCTGCATTTATCCTGTGGAGACCCTATCCGACTAGCCTTAAGGGAAGAGGATTTTTAAAAACATATATACAAAAATAACACAAAAACCCAACCTATTTTGGCTGAGAAGCCAGCTACAGTAAGAGGAGGAGCACCTAAGAGACTCCTTTGAATTAAAAGGACAGACTTAAGCTGTTTGCATTAACATTCCTCTATTGTAGCCTTCCAAGGGAAACCAAAGCAGAGATATATTTATTGTGACACTGTGAATGACAGTGGTTTAAATTATTCCTTATTGTTTATTTCAAAGTGAGGTTAGGGAAAGGTTGAGGGCTTTTTATTTCTCCCTTTCTTTCTTTTTTGGCAGAAGGTTTTCTAAAAATATTATCGATAGGCTTCATTTGTGTCCTAGCCTGCTTTTTTAAAAAATTGAAACGGCATGTTTTAAATGCGTGCCAAGGACAACAACAATATTTGGGAGGGGGGAAGAAAGGGTATAAGGGGCTTGCAATTAAAGGCACACTGAATTGCGTGCTTCAGTTGAGACTATTTCAAAGTGTGTGTGGGGGAGACATATTACAATCTTACGTTTAAGTAATTCCTTAAGTACATAACCAGTGTACGCTGGGAAAATGATTTCTGGGAAAAGAATGCACACACTAAAAAGAGACTACTGTATGGTATTATAACGTGTGATTTCTAATGAGTTCCATATTTTCTACCAAAGCTTTCACTGCTAATCACAAATTTTCATTTATGGGGGGGGGGGGGAATGTTTTCAACAGAAAGAAAAGGGTGACCTCTGAAAGTCACCAGTTCGGTAATAAACTTTACAAATCAGAGCTCACTGTAATGAAGTATTTTAAATCCATTTCATCTTTGCCTGACTAAATGGAAATGTGATTTATTTGGATCAACAAATGTTAAATACGCCTGGATTATAAAGTACATTTATTGCTGCATTGTGTTAACTCTTCATTTATTCAGGTAAAAACTCACCATTTATTTATTTATTTTAAAGTAGGTGTTTGAAAAGGGAGTACTTGTAGAAAGCGCACTTATTGATGAATAAATTGTTTCTGAGAATTATAGCCTGCCTTTCTTCCATCATGGCATGTGTACATGGAACCCAGGCGCTCACCCATCTGGGAACTGACCAAACCCAGACCTGCAAGGTGAGATGGCCTCATTTGCCTTCAAGAAAATACCCTTCATAAAAGGTGTTAAGGAAAACAATGCACCAAGACTGTGATACAGCAATGGAAGTTAGTGTATAAATGTCTGTAGCTTATCACTTTTCCAATTCTACCTTCTTTGCTTTCCTTCACCAAAAATTTCCTAGATGAATTCGGATGAAGATGTCTCTGAGAAGCCTACTGGTATGAGACCCTTGTTGCTTGTCCCCAGAATCTAGAATCAAAAGGATGCTGCTGCTTCTGAATGCACAATTTCTATCTTTAGTGTCTCTTTGACCACATCCAGCTTACCATGGTTCATGGATCTTTCTTTCCAGGTTCCTATGCAATATTTTTCTTTACAGGATTGGACTTTCCTTTCACTTCCAGGCACATCCCCAACTGAGTGACCTTTTGGCTTTGGCCCAACCGCTCCATCAGCTCTGAATCTACTTGTACTTGTCGTCCACTCTTCCTCAGTAGCATGTTGGACACCTTCCAACATGAGGGACTCATCTTCCAGCGTCATAACTTTTATATGCCGGTTGTTTTTGTCCATGGAGTTTTCTTGGCAGGGATACTGGAGTGGCTTGCTGGTTCCTGCTCCAGGTGGATCATGTTTAGTCAAAACTCTCCACTATGACATGTCCGTCTTGGGTGGCCCTGATTGGCATAGCTCATAGCTTCTCTGAGTTATTCAAGCCCCTTCGCCACAACAAGGCAGTGATCCATGAAGACAGGAGTGCCTGGCGTGCTCTGGTTCATGGGGTCACGAAGAGTAGGACACAACTAAACGACTAAACAACAACAGTGTCTCTTTAGTCTTTATAGCTAATGGGAACATAGGGATCTGCTCTAAACTGAGTCAGACCATTCATCTATTGTTTACACCCAAACTTGTGTCTCCAACTGCTTTTGGACTACAGCTCCCATCATCCCTAGCTAGCAAAACCAGTGGTCTGGGATGATGGTAATTGTAGTACAAAATCAGCTAGAGACCCAAGCTTGGGAAACACTGGTCTACACTGACAAGGAGTGTCTCACTGGGATTTCAGGCAGGAGACTCTCCTAGATCTACCTGCAGATGCCAGGAATTGAACCTGAGACCTTCTGCATGCAAAACAGGTGCTCTATTGCTGAGCTATGACCAATCCTGAATTGTCCCCAGCTACTTGAACCCTTTTATATGAGTTGCATTGCTGGAATCAAACATGCACAAATCCCAGCAGTATGAAGAGGATGAGCCTGGAGAGCTTGTCAAATAGGCAGAAGAGGAAATGAGGCTGGGGCAGTCGTGATTCTTGTTTTTACTATTGTTTATTAAATTTGTGGGACGCGGGTGGCGCTGTGGGTAAAACCTCAGTGCCTAGGACTTGCTGATTGTAAGGTCGGCGGTTCGAATCCCCGCGGCGGGGTGAGCTCCCGTCTTTCAGTCCCAGCTCCTGCCCACCTAGCAGTTTGAAAGCACCCCTAAGTGCAAGTAGATAAATAGGTACTGCTTTATAGCGGGAAGGTAAACGGCGTTTCCGTGTGCCGTGCTGGTGCTGGCTCGCCAGAGCAGCTTCGTCACGCTGGCCACGTGACCCGGAAGTGTCTTTGGACAGCGCTGGCTCCTGGCCTCTTAAGTGAGATGAGCGCACAACCCTAGAGTCGGACACGACTGGCCCGTACGGGCAGGGGTATCTTTACCTTTATTAAATTTGTATGCCTCCCTTCATCTGAAAATCACAGGGTGGCTCACAACATAAGAATACAAAACGAGAGCGCAAAATACCTAATAAAACAAAAACTAACCACCTCCAGCCTCAATGGAGGTCAGAGTATAGATCTGGGGAGGAAACACGTGGCAGTACCTTTTCTCATCTCTTCTGTACCAGTTGAATTAGAAAGATCAGCTGGAGATGGGCATCCCATGGAGCCAACCAGTGTAAGCCTGGTTGGTTTTTCAGTTGCACATTGGCATCCTCAGGGAAATGGACAACTAGCCTCAAAAGAGATTTATGTTCAGCTAAGTGTTACTGGCCGAACGCTACTGACTATATTTAAAACAAATGTATAATGGTTAAAAATACATACAGAGGTACCTCGGGTTAAGTACTTAATTCGTCCCGGAGGTCCGTTCTTAACCTGAAACTGTTCTTAACCTGAAGCACCACTGTAGCTAATGGGGCCTCCTGCTGCTGCTGCACCGCTGGAGCACGATTTCTGTTCTCATCCTGAAGCAAAGTTCTTAACCCGAGGTACTATTTCTGGGTTAGCGGAGTCTGTAACCTGAAGCATATGTAACCCAAGGTACCACTGTATAGGGATATAAGGTCAATTAAAATGATGCAAAAATTTATCACAGGCTACAACCTAAAGCTATATGATCCCAGGCAAACTAAAAATAATAGACCTGTATATCCCGTAGAGAAGACATATATTACAGAGGTCTGTAACCTTTTGGGGCCTGGGAGGAAATCACGAAGCTGATGTGAGTACCCGAAAATACCTATTTCCCAGAACAAAAACAGTCAATTCTCAGAAACCAGCCACCCAAAACAAGCAAAAAAAATCCTAGCATCCTCTTCTACATCAAGAACAAGGGGGAGGAGACCAGCAGTGCCTCCTATTTGCAGCAGGGGGTGGGGTGCCCGAGGAGGCAGCGTATCTGGCCTTTATGGAGCATGTTGCAGCTGTTACTACCGCTATGGCAGCGACAACAGCAGCAAGCAATGCGTTCCTTGGAGGCCAGATCTGCTGCCCCGGCGACTGCCTAACCTTGCCTCAATGGTGGGCTGACCCTGATAGTATACACGTTCTTATTAAGCGAGCCACAAGTTTGTATAAACCTTTGGAACTGATCTTTGGTTTTCTGGTCGGTTTGTAAACTAAATGACTCTCCGCTATTCTCCTGCAAAGGTATCTTTGTGCTTTGTCTCTCTTGCTAGTCTTGAGAGTCAATTTTTCTGAAAGGGTGATACACCATATTCTCTTGTACCAGGAAGTCATCCCCCACCCCTGTAAGGGCAATATGCCATACTCTCTTGCACCAGGCATTCAGTTTCACAACTTTTAAGCCCTTCAGAATGTGACCATAACCATGCAGCCACTAAGAGAAACCCAATTAGTAGTTTATTCACCCAACACTGATTCTCATTTAAATACAGACCCAGTAATGCACGTTCTGAAGACTTGGTGACATGCTGATGGATAATATTACATATCTCATTAAAGACTTGTTCCAAGCAAACTGCCACGTTTGGGCATGTTCACCACAAGTGCCTATAGCTGCCTCTCTCCTAACATTTTGTCGGAATCTCCTTTATTGCAACTTGACACCATTGGTTCGAGTCCTGCACCCTGGAGCAGAAGAAAACAAGCTTGTTCCATCTTCCATGTGACAGACCTTTAGGTATTTGAAGATGGATATCATATCTCCTCTCAGTCTCCTCCTTACCAGGCTAAACATACCCAGTTCCCCTAACCGGTCCTCATAAGGCTTGTATCCAGACTCTCCATCAAATGGGTTGCCCTCCTCTGCACATGTTCCATCCTTTCAATATTCTTCTTAAATTGTGGTGCCCAGAACTAGACATAGTCATTTGGAATGAACGTTCAGGTTAGAGTTCTGCAGTTCAAGTTAAAATACAACTACAAACTTGAATCCACTCTGTACTTTTCCAATGGGACCAGGAATGATGCAAAAGACACTACAGTGTGTCAATATTTACCACTGAACCTTGACATATCACACCAAATCGTTGCATGTATATTAATTACCTGATTAATTTGAAATTCATTCACCAGCTCAACTACGACACCTGTCTTTAAGGTGGGTGGCAATAGTTTATTGGGGCCTCTCAAATATTGTGCCATAATTGGACTCTGCTAAAGTAAATCTCTATAATCAGACGGGTGTGGTTTTTCAGTATAGAATCAGTCCTGGCTAGGAGTGTCTAATAATGTTGCTTTGCTACTTCAGTGTCATTATATGGTCATTAAAACCATATTAATTAAGATCACATGCTTTTTGGTTTTGGAGTCATTTGTGACAGTGAGCAGCTTTATCCTAGTGACTGCCATTTTATTTCTTCAGAGTACCCCTGATCATTCTAGGACACCTGTAGAAAAAATGATGGTCACTGCAATGCAACATCTGGGGGCACATTAGAATAAAGTTGTTGTTGTTGTTGTCTTTGTATTGTTTATTAAAATGACACGGAAGTGGCCATTCAAATCAGCCCAACTGCCACACCAAGTCATCTTCCCATCCCTGAATGTATATGAAAGGGTACCAATGTTACCAAAAACCTGTCCCTATTTGCTGCTCATGGCATTTGTTTTGGAACAAAGGAATATTGAATCAAAAGGGCTCCAATTTTTCATTCCTTTCAGAATGAATGCACACCCAGTCTACATCTCACATCAGGGTAAAAACGTTCATGGAATGTACCATTTCTGTCTGCGGGTGATGGGTCCTGTGGTTGGATTATTTCTTCCCGAGAAGAGCTCTAACCTCCCTGACATACTAGTGCAGTCCCCCACCACTGCAGTCTGGTGTAATAAACTCCAGTTTACAATGCAGTCAACTGGTTTGTCTAAACTAAGCCCTAGTCTTCAAGTCCTTTCAATGCAGACTGAGATCATGTCACTGTTAGATTTTGAACAATGTCTTGCCCAGTATTGGTGCTTATGGTAAATGCAAGGGGTGACAATAGTGGTAGCAGTAACAATAATAGCAGTAAGAATTGCTAATGGTGCATTTATTGTGCACGTACTGGACCTAAATTAGTAATTTTTCTGTCACATGTTGCTACTGCTCAATTGACTGCTGATAGCATCCGCTTGATTTATTGACCCAAATAATGTTACGAAGGTTGTGCACCAATCCCAATCTGTGCTGAGCGGCAGCCACATTCCAGGGGGTTCCAGATGCTCAGCTAGAGTTGTGTTTCCATTGTTTCCATTGGGAAAATTGAGGCACAGAGGAAGCTGGTATCTTTAAGAAATATTTTTTTTGTACACGTATTTACACCTGGAGCCTTCCATGGAGGGGTGCAGAACATTATACCCCCTCTCATAGCTCCAGCAAGCTGGAAACCAAAGTAGCAATCAGTCATGGTTCCCGGTCTCTCCAGGCGGCCAGCACCAAGATGGCTGTCCCCTTCAGTCCTTGCATGGAGTTCTACCTACTTCCTTTCTTATTCCCAGAAACCCCTGCTCCAAGCAACTCCTCCCCTCTGTCTGCTATCCCAAACCTAGTTTTAAAAAGGTACATTTTTCCTGTGAGCACGGCTTGCCCCGTCCCCTGTTTTCAATCCTAAATCTTCTCCACCTGTGATAACCATGACATCTCTGTTTTGCACAGACCCAAGGATTTCTCTGTGATGGGCCATCCATGCCTTTTGTCTTGTTAATGGTCTCTATCCCAGGTGAGGCCCTGGCTTGGAAAGGAAGCTTAGCCTGTATTTTTCTACTGGCCTGGAATCTTCCCTTCAATACTCCAAATATTATCTAAATACCACTGTTTACTAATTTATACCATTCACTAACAGAGTTTGGTACCCTAGATCTATGTCAATAATTTGAACAGAGGTTTTGCATCAGAGCAGGCATGAATGAGAAAAAGAGTTCGTGCCCCAATAACCATCGGAATGAGATTATCCTTCATTTCAGATAACAGGTAGTAGAACATGTGCTGCATTTTACAGTTAATAACAACAACAACAACAACAACAACAACAACAACAACAATAACAACATATTTTATTATCTGAATCCTGCCCATCTGACTGGGTTGCCCCAGCCTCTCTGAGCAGCTTCCAACAAAATATAAAAACACAGTAAGTCATACACCAAACATTAAAAACTTCCCTATACAGGGTGGCCTTCAGATGTCTTCTAAAGGTTGTATCGTTCTTTATCTCCTGGACAACTGATGGGAGGATGTTCCACAGGGCGGGTGCCACTACCAAGAAGGCCCTCTGCCTGGTTCCCTGTAACTTCACTTCTTGCAGTGAGGAAACCCTCAGAAGACCCACAGAGCTGGACCTCAGTGTCAGGGCTGAATGATGGAGGTGGAGACGAAATAGCACCAACAACCGCAATAAAGATTGATTGGTTGATGGGAGGTGGAGACGCTCCTTCTGGTATACAGGGCTGAGGC